ATGTTCCATCTTTTCCGAGCCAAAAACACGTGTTGGATAAAATGGCGCCCGAAAGAATACTGGTGTCTGTCATGCGCAGGTACCGGAAGTACTTCCGGGGCGCGTTCAATTTGTTTCGGGAGAGTAGTGATGGAAGTCCGAGGGAATTGCCTAAGGTTTGACTCATGCAGGTAGGTATGGGGACTGAAGTAAACTAATTGAATTATGAAGCATATGTCTCAGTAGAATGCCTCACACAAGATATTTTGTCACAAAGGGTATTTTTATTAGAGGTTTAACTGATAAAACAAAAGAGAAGTCGAGATATCGATATACTGCTTGCAAGGTTGGTGTTCTTATTTTTCAAATTGTTTATGGTCGAGGGTTAGCGCGAACGCAGACCCCCACACTTAAAAATAGCGTACCCGAGTAATCCGCATTTGGGATTATCGCAGGGTTCAGCCCGACCGGAGTGCAATGGAAGGGCCTCGACCTGGGGGAACCTTTTTTTAAGTTTCATAAAATGTTTATTAACATATATACAGGTAAAAACGTCACGAGACAGACCCCTATGACGCCGGCGACTGATGTACAACCGGTAGCCCCGGTAAAGTGCCATTATCCTTACATCCTAAGATGGACAAGATATGTAAACGAAGTTACCTGGTTACACGATAGTTAACATAATTAATATGTTAAAAATAATGACAATTATCGGTATTAATTGATATAAGTCACAGCATGTTTCTTGATTATAACGGGAGACTGATGTTTAGGTCGTCATCCCGCAAGGTACAGAAAATATCAGTAGTACACCAATACTCAGAGAAAGTGTTTCTGGAAAAGCGAGTAAAATCAGACTTAATGCGAAGAATAACATTGCTGAGAAAGTGACAGACGAGAGAATCAGAAGAAGGAGACTTTTTGTCATATTTTTTAACACAACGTATATGCCAAATGGACGATAGGGATTCTGCCACTAGAAAAAGGACAAGAGACTTTACTTTTAGAGTGAGACATACTGGTGAATGAAAATGCCAAAGTGCCGAATCAGTTGGGATCTTGTTCTCTGAGATCTGGTGTATCCAAGAATTTACCAATGATACTAACGGCTGAATAAATGGACAGTCAAAGAATAAATGTGAAATGGTTTCAAAACCAGTGCAGAAAGTACAAAATTTACAGGATTCAACACCATATTTATACATTCGAAAATTCACAGGTAAAATCTCATGTACTATCTTAAAGACAACATCACGTGAGCGAGTATCTAAAAACTTATTTGAAATATTGCGAAAAACAATTTTAAAATCAACAGTTGGAAAAATCTTCACAACTCGTGGTGCCTTAGTAATACCAGCTAATAACGTAATGTATAACTCTTTGGTTGTCACCGACTCAAAATTGGACTTGGGAAAGTCTTTTCTATATTTCTGAAAAATTCCATAAATATAAGAATAAAATGTAGGACACCACTCACTATGTGGAATACTATTGTCAACAGGTGAAAAATATTCTCGAAAATGTAATGAGAGCCAGTACTTGGTAAAATACCTCCACTTGGCCTCGGTATGTTTGAAAACAAAATCCTGACAATGTTTTAGATAAATGGCTTGAAATTTACTTTTAATGTTAACAATACCAAGTCCACCACTAGTAGTAGAGGCATAGGCTACGGAGCGCGCAAGTGGCTCCGACTTGGAATTCCATAAAAATCTAAACAAAGTTCTCTGTAAAAGATCTAAATAATGCCTTGGCATTATGACGGTAGTACCAATATACCAAAGTTTGCTGCAAGCAAGGACCTTTATAACTATGGACTTTTGTGTTAAAGATAAATTTCGCATTTTCCATAAATCCAAGGTCCTTGAAAATTTCCGAAAAACTGGCTGCCAAATATCGTCAGGAGTAATGTTATTGCCAATTAAAACCCCACAAATCTTATGTTTTTCAACCCAACTAATGCCGAAAGGGTTATCTGAACGTGATTTCCATTTCCCAAGCCAAATACCCTTAGTTTTCTGTTTATTCAATTTAGCACCTGACGCTTTGCCATACAGATTACACCAATGAAATAATTTTGAAATAGAGGAATCGGAACAGCAAATACCAGTACTATCATCTGCATAGAGGGAAATTTTAGCTGACTGAGAGGAACCCGGAAGTTTTACACCAGTTATTTCAGGATCGTCACGGACTTTTTTCGCAAAGGGCTCCAAGACCAAAACATATAAAAGAGGAGATAAACTACAGCCTTGCCGTACACCACGAGTGATAGGAAAGGGGTCAGATATAAACCCGTTAACAATAACGGACGAACAGACATTTTTGTATAAGATACTTACCCATTTAGCAAAATCAGGACCGAAATTGTAAGCTTCAAGTACCTTAAATAAAAATGTATAATTTACTCTATCAAAAGCTTTCTCTTGGTCAAGAGATATAAAAGCACACTTCAAGTCTTTTTGATTAACGTAATCAACAATATTACGAAGAAGATGACAGTTTTCAAAAATAGATCTATCTTTTATCGCGCAAGTTTGGTCAACCCCAACAAGTTTATCAATAACCTTACTTAACCTGTTGGTAATAACCTTGGAAAGAATTTTATAATCAATATTCAGGAGAGAAATGGGCCTCCAGTTTTTCATACTATCAGAATTCCTTGGATCTTTACATAATAACGAAATAAAAGACGTTTTCTGGGTGTCACGTAGCTCACCCTTCTGAAAAATGTCATTGTATAATGTGACGAGATGATCTCCTAATAAATCAAAAAAAGTAAGATAGAATTCTTTAGTGAGACCATCACTACCAGGGGACTTATTGTTCTTCATATGCTTGATAGCAGCTAATATTTCCTCCTTCCCTATAGGGCCTTCACACATTGACATTTCAAGTTCGTTAAGTTTGGGAAGGTTATCACAAAAAGAGTCAGCCAACTCAAAATCGATATCTTCCTCGGAAAAAAGTTTGGTATAAAAATCTCGAAAGGCCGCTAAAATGTCACTGGAATTAGTAACACAGGAGGAATCAGGTAAGTCGATTTTCTCTATGAATTTCTTCTTACCCTTATCACACTCCATTTTAAAGAAATAACGTGAAGGCTTTTCAGAAAAGTCTAAACAATTAGCTCTAGACCTAATCATAGACCCCCTGAAACTATCAGTATGAAAATCAAGTAGTTGTCTCTTAATAGACTGAACTTGGTCAATAAAGTGTCCAGGTGACTTTTTTTCTAAATTATACAACTTATTATATTTTTCTTGTAAAGATCTGACAACAGAACGTTTAACTTTAGCTTTACGTTTACAATATCCAATAATGAAATATTTGATAACAGATTTACAATTATCCCAATGATCTAAAGACACAGGCTTATTGTCAGTTAGATCAAGCCAGAAATCTTTAAAAGCAATCTGAAAGGCTCTATCGCTCAAAATACTATTATTAAGTTTCCAGTAAAAGGGTCCAAACTTATCCTCAGAAAATAGTTTAATTTTTAGAAGAACAAAATCATGGTCGGAACTACCAGACGGAAAAATTCTATTCTCTAATAAATGCTCTTTCAATATACATGAAATATAAAATCGATCTAAGCGGCATGAAACACCATTACCATGCCAAGTAGTAGAAATGACATTCGGAAAAAGTGATCTAAATATCTCAAATAACTTAAAATCATTACACAGATTTTTTATTGAAACACTACCAGGAAGACCACGACTGGGATTACCACCAATCTTATCAAGGGAATTGTTTTCAATACAATTAAAATCACCAGCAAAAATGATGGGCCTTCTACAGGTAAAATGATGTATAATAATATCAAAAAATGCCCGACGCTCCTCATCAACATTTGGGGCGTATACATTAATAATTCTGAACTCGCTATCATAATATTTAAAATCAACAAACATGGTCCGTCCTTCTCTATCAAGATCAAACTTTTGTAGTTTTACATCTATGAAAAACAAAACAGCTGTGCCCTTACTATTATATGAACCGAAATTCCATATTGCTTTACATTTCAAAAAACTTTCAATCTGTTTACCGACAAACAAGTTAGAAACATGAGTTTCTTGTAACAATACAACATGTACATTATGATTATGTACAAAATCATTCAGCTCATATTGCTTAGACTTGGATAAAAACCCGTTACAATTCCATGTAATTATATTGATTGTTGTATTATTCTCCATCATTATAATTTATTTTTGGTATGTATAATCTATAAAAGATACAAGCAGAAGAAAAAGTTAAGTGGAAGGAGAGAAAGTTAACAGGTAAGTAAAAGCACACTCGCGCACGATCGGTCTGCAGCCAGGAGAGGAAGGTGAGTATAAAGTAAACACATTCAAAACACAGCAGACAACTGTATAAGCGTGATCAATGAACCGCAACACAGGTAAGTTATCGAGTGCACGAGTGCGACTCTCGATACACGCGCCCCAAAAGGATTGGCTGAGCGTATGCCTGTGAAAAGTCAGCTTAACAACAATATAATAATGATAACAATAATAATTATGAAGAACAAATGCGAATGTAATGTGAGAACATTGGTAGGATTCGCAAGCAATTAAAATCAAAGTAGTGGACGTTAGGCAGTATTGGTAAATATATATTGATATATAAAATGAAAATGCTGTATTAATACGTAAAGCTGACAATACATAAGTACTTTCTACTGGTAAAGACCTCTGCGTAGCCGAGAAAGCTAACAAAGCTCTTACAGGTAAAAACACGCGTTGTTGTATGCTAGCAATTATATAGTACAGGTAAAAATACAACTGGACGATAAGCTGACAATGCATAGCAATATAAGTATAATATTGAATGATAACATGAGTTAAATAATGAAACCAAATCAAACATACAGTTACTGTAAACACCTTGTAGGTGAAATGATAACAATAGTCCAGGGACAAGCTGAGGTCAAATATGGAACACAATGCCGCCGCCATAGTCCGATAAAGAAAGTCCAAAACCGTTAACCGAGAAAATACTAAAACCGAAATTTACCCAGACTCCTCGTCAATAACCAGGTGATCCTCATCCGACATGTCGGAATCACTCCGGTCGTCGATACATCTATGTCCATGTACTAGGTCGCCATTTGACAGGATGCCCGGGGATATTGATGAATGTTTCCCCTTCTTTGTAACCCTTTGGAATCCGGCATCATCTATGACGGGGCCCGGGCGCTTTGTCGGTAGGGATGTTGGGTTATCGCTACTTCCGGACGAGGGGCACGCGGCAGTACTATTCCTTTCGGAAGAGGGACTCTCGGTAAGGCTACTCCCTCCGGATGAGGGGCTCGTAGCGGGACCGCTCCCTCCGGACGAGGGGCTCACGGTAGAACTGTTTAGCTGTGTTGCCTCTGACTCCTCTCGAAGTGGCGTAGGGCCCATACCCGGGATAGACTGAGATGAAGACTGGGCTACCTTAGCGTAGCTAGCCCGAGTCGTAGGCTCGGGTTTCCCGGGACACTGAGACCTCACGTGTCCGACCTGCTGGCAGCGCAGGCAAATGGGAGGTCTGCCTGGAACGGTAATCAGGGCCACCTTACCGAACAGTCTGTCGCGATAAGGTATCCTGTCCTGGTCGCCTTCCTTTATCAGTAACGTGACGATTCTTGTCCCCGTCTCCAAAGTGACTTTCCCTATGGAAGTCTTTTCTTTAGCTATGTTAATGACCTTTCCATAGTAGCTATCGAAATGGTCCGCTATGGCGTCATCTGATATCCAAGACGGGAGCCACATTACACGCAAAGATATCCGGCGTTGGTCGCATCGCTCCGGTGTAAGTGCGAAATAAGTGTCCTTCATAGCGCCTTTCTCTACAATACTGTCGACCACTGCCTCGGATTGCAAAGTAACAAACCAGGTGTTTGGAGCTTCGCACCTGAACACGGACACAATCTCCTCCCCGGGAAGTCCACCATTCAGTAATCGCTTCAAGACTTCAAAACGTGTAACAGTGTGTTTCCTTGGACCGGTGACGAACAATCTGACAGACTTCTTCAAAATATCGATATCGATATGATCCATACTTGTAGCAGTGGTGGCCATGATAGCGGTATCCCCTGTACCAGGTAAGTATGAGTTGTTACTGTAAAAGAGAATATATAAACTGAATGTAAAATTTTACAGACAAGGTATTTAAAAATTACCATATGGAAAGAGAAAAATGTGTATAACTAAAATAAACTGAAATACTATCTTAAATGCTTTCATAAAAATAGTATCATTATTATATTGTATAATATGATGTAAATATTGCATTACTTTATTACATAAAAAGTATCTTATTTGACAAATTTTATCTCAGTTACATGTTTTGGAAGAGGGGAAGTAACTCTAGGGATTGTGTTGCCGCTGACAAAGCGCAGTGAGACAACATGTTAAGAAACAAAGAACATGTTGGTGTGTTCTGCTTCCTTAGATATCGATTTTATATCCGTACCATTACAACAACAACAACAACAACTATAATTAGAATAATAACAATAATAATAGTAACAATAAGATTTAAAACATGCGTAAGTAAATTCAGAGCTAAGAATCATTTACACCTACAAATATTAGTTTTTAGCCAAAATCAGGTAGTTTTTCAACAGCAACTAAGGTTAAGTCATTTTATAATTTGACATCAAAGTAATTGCAAAAGCATTGGTTTTCGGAATGGTCAGCATCGGAATTGTACCAGACCAACTTAAATATAGTTCAATTTGAGTCAAAAATAGACACGGCAGGATCTGCTCTATTCCATCAAAATAGTTACTTATCAATATGTCATGAATTAATTTTAAAAATGACAACATTGGTTTCGCTTATCATTTTTGTAACTTATCTTTAAAACGTCAAGATACATGTAAAGTAAGATAATATCAGATATATTGTATTATGACATCTGTATCAAAATTGTTTATACACGTGAGGGATTTAAATTGCTTTAACATATGAAATGCATAATCACTCAACATTGACCTGTAGGGCTTATGTCAATGCTCAAATTGTACCACTTCCTAATTTTGTAATTTGTATTTTAATAATGTCAAAGAAAAATGTTTAGAATCTTATCAAAGTACTTTATCTGTGGTTGGTTTTGAATAGAAATCCCGTCTTTATACAGATGTCTGGAAATGATAAAAAAAGTTAATTTGATCAAATCCCCATCTCACCGCTGAAAAGTCCATGATTCCAGACAACGTATTTATTGCTGTTAGGTCCTATTTCTACATATATAGGCATGGGTTACTTTACACTGAAGTGATTTTAAGTTAAATTAAATTCAGTTTTTTTTTCATCCAATGTACAGTGGGGGAAAATACTAAATGATTTTCAATAGAATATTAACTTGTACAAATAATTCCAATTATTTTTTATATTTCTCTAGGCAAACTAACTAAACAAGAGAAAACCTCTGAAAAGAACGAGTTCCCAACAGAACAACCAGAATTACTTACGATCATCAAACACGTGCAATGTTTTATATCAAACAAGGATATAGAATACATGTATTTCTCATTTAGATTCTGGAAACACGTCTTTCAACACACATGTGTGTTTTAACATATGGTTTAAAGTTCATCATCCGGTACAATCATTTCAATTGTACAATTGATATATACACTGTATGAAAGAGGTATAGACAAACGTGGAATAAAAAAGGACGTGGAAAAAACTGGTATTGACAACAAAATTGTTTCACACATAAAGATTTAATTCTGTGAATGAAAATATTATAAACATTTCCTTCTTAAATAGCCTATGCGAGCTACCCTACAAATTCCACATCTTCAATTTTCTATATTTCCACTAGAGATCGAATCAAGAACAGATATTCAGACTTACTAATCATACACTCTACTGAATGAGCTAAAGAGGAGTTCTCCCTAGCCGAGCAGTATAGCATGAATGTAGATTAAGAGTTATCTCCCTTACATATTACACCCAAGATATTCGTTACCATGTCGATTTTATGAATCACAATTAAACAACATTTAAACAAAAGTGCCACAGACAGCATACATCTAGTACGATCTGAGTAAAATCAGATGATAAGTCTGTTCCTCTAATTAACTGTACAATGTATTTGCACTATGTTGACAATAGAGGCCAATATATTTCTGTTGTAGTGAACATTTTGATATAATAATTTTGTAACTATGGCTGCAATTAATTGAATTTTGAAGCATATAAGTCAGTAAAATGCCTTACACAAGATTATTTTGTCATAAAGGGTATTTTTATTAGAGGTTTAACTGATAAAACAAAATAGAAGTCGAGATATCGATATACTTCGAACTAAAGACGGTAAAAGTATTTACAGTCGGTTGGGCTTGCAAGGTTGGTGTTCTTATTTTTCAAATTGTTTATGGTCGAGGGTTAGCGCGAACGCAGACCCCCACACTTAAAAATAGCGTACCCGAGTAATCCGCATTTGGGATTATCGCAGGGTTCAGCCCGACCGGAGTGCAATGGAAGGGCCTCGACCTGGGGGAACCGCCTTGCTGATCACGGTATCCCCTGTACCAGGTAAGTATGAATTGTCACTGTAATTGAGTGTATATAAACTGAATGTAAAAATTTTACAGACATGGTATCTAAAAATTACCATATGGAAAGAGAAAAATATGTATAACTGATATCAATTTACATACTATCACACTTTTTTTCATCAGAAGAAATCAATTATTGTTTTGTATAATATGATGCAACTGTTGTTTTGCTTAATACCAATAAATTGTCTTAATTTGCAAAATATATCTCAGTAACAGTATTTTAAACAGGGGAGGTAACTCTATGAATTTTTGTTGTAACCGTTGACAAATCAGTCTAGAACAATTTGAGGGATATGACTGTTACAAAAACATCGTTGTTGGGATAAATTCAGAACATTCAATGATAAGTTATTAGACAACAAAATAAGTTTTTCAGCCGGGCTATAGTCAAGTCAATTTATATAAGTATTTTGACTTCAAAGTTATTACATAACAAGTTTTATTCGGAATGGTGAGTATCAGAATTGTTCCATGAAAAATCTGTAAAAATTGGGAGAGTAATTGATGACTTTCTACGGAATTAAGAACATAAGAAAAAATTGAACAATATTTGATGTGCATTAACTACATTATAGTTGTAAATCTGGATACAGAAAAAACAGTATGGTGAGACCAACTCAAATATAGTTCAATTTGAGTCAAAAAGAGACACGGCAGGATCTGCCGTATTCCATCAAAATAGTTACTTACCAACATGCCATGAACTCATTTAAAAAATGACAAATGTCAAAGTCCAAACAGAACCACTTTCTAATTTTGCAACTTGTAGTTTGTCAAAAGAAAATGTTTAGAATTTTATCAAATGACTTTAAATGCAGACTGTTTTAAACAGAAATCCCGTTTATCTTAAGATATCTGGAAATAATGAATCAAGTCAGATTGACAAAATCCCTGTTGTGTGTATTAAATGGTATTTGGTCCTATTGTGACACATTTAGGCAAGGATTATTGACGTAACATGTTACTTTAAACTTAAGCGAATCTTCATCGTGTTAACTAAATTTTAGTTTAAAATTGTCTTTTTCTGTACCCATGAAACGACAGTTCGAATACACTGGAGGAAATGGAAACCACTTTTAGATCTTTAGCTCTGGAGTTTCAGAAATTCCTGTATAAACATAGTCTATAGTTTTTTTTATCTTTTATCTTTTTAATTTTGTACAAGTCCCCAGTGTTGTTCTACATCCCTCTTTCTATCTCTCTTTCCCTATGCCACACCCTGTTCTTATCTCTCTGTCTGTTTCTTTATTTTTTGTCAACTTATACAATTTACATAAAAAGACTATTATAATAGTTTCATGTCACCACGTGACCATATTTATGTAAATGTTTATGTGTATGTTGTAGGAGAAGTCATTTATAAGTTGGTAAAACTTACTGACTAATCCTATTGTCGATGTCATTGTCAATAAAATATGTTTAAACTAAACAGTGTTGGAGTACTACACAAGTAATCAGTTTCAGATATTTTAATTTTCCAGTTTTACGATGGTCTTGTACACCAACAAGCTCATGAATATATCACCTGTATAGATTTGTACCACTCACTGTTATACCAGGAAACAATGGACTGGTTTCATTATATATACAAAATGTAGTTATATATATGCAGGCAGTTATTTTTGCTCCAGACCATATTGTTATTTTTCCTGTTTTATAATAAGTCACCGATTTGTGGTGATATCAACTATACAGTTACTCATGTGACTAGTAGTTTATTTTCACAGTAACATAAGTAACCAGTTTATGGTATGTTTGACTCCCACTTAAGCAAGTAACTTAAGTAACGTTTGTTCTAGTATCTGTATCCTAGCTTATTACCTTGATAGGAATCAGTCTATTAGTAACCCGTATATGACATATCTGATTGTCGATATATATAAATAACTTCTTTACTACCAGTAGATCTTAATAACTAGTAAATTTGATTACCTATTTATGTGATTTAGTCTATAGGTAACTAGTATATGATATATCTGATCACTTATTTCATATTTGTTAAACCACTATATAAGTAACCAGTTATGGTATACTTGGCTACCTACTTAAATAATATTTGTGGTTTTATCGGATTTATTGGTAATCAGTTAAGTTAAACACTTCAATCAAAAGATGAGTAACCAGTTATGGTATATACTCAATGCTTGTCTATTATGAAGTTCTCATTAGTTATTTATACATATTTATTTATTAAATAAAAATTCATCAGAAATGATATCTGATTTATAAATTTAAGTAGTTGGAGAAACTACCTCTCTTACATACTACCCCCATCTCATCCCACTCCCCCCGCCCCCCATCCTCCACACTCTCCATTACCCCTTTTCTATCCTCTCTTCATCTTTTATTTGTGCGAGTGCAAGTGAGAATGACCCAGTATATAATTACAAATTAATGAATCAGAGTTAATGGGGTTTTCATGTACATGTATTGTGTATGTTTGTTTTATATGTATAATTCTTCAAAAATAAAAGAAATAAAAAAATTTAGTATAAAACAAATCTGGATTTATTAATGCACCCTTCTATATGAGAATCACTTCATGTTTAGGATAAACAAGGAACTTAAAATACAGTTACATATCAATGTCACTTGACAAACGCATGTACAGAGACACACCCTTAATAGCCCGTCGGGCGTTTAAACATCTTCCCCGGTGTGGTTTCCCACACTAATCTGCGGTAGGAGCATCCTATGTGTGTTTGGTATAGGTATTCATAGTTTATATAATTCTGAAAGGTCATTAATGTCAAAAATGACTTAGCTCCATTAATTGCTATTCGTCAAATTTTAATTTGTTAAAAGTTTTTTCAACACGTTAAGGACAGCTTAAAGAGTTCTAAATTACTTTACCGCATTTAAAACCTAGTGATTGGTCCATTTATTTATGTCACTTAAACGCCTTAAAATAACTATTATTTCCCACATCGAAACTGTTGTTAATTTTAATGCGTTAAAACCTTTTTTAGCAGGTTTAATAATGAGTTCTAAAATATTTTATTTCATTTCAAATCTAGTGATTGGTCCATTCGTTTATGTCATTTGAACTCCTTGAAATACGCATTCAACCTGCTGCTAACATTGAACTTGTTCAGATTTAATGACTTAGCGTTTATAAAATTTGTCCGTTTTATGAGCTAAAAGTAATGAATCGTGTAGACATGTACATGCGACTAGAGAAGATGGTTGTTTTCTTTATAATACATTACAATGGATGTGTCTACTAAGTATTTTATTACATACATATACTCTGTGTTAAAGTCAACATTAGGGGTAATGCATCATGACACACGCCATCTAAATCTGATCACGTTCCCAACAGAACGACCCGAAATACTTACAATCGCATCAAATTTTACATCAAACAAGGATAAAGAATATGTGTACTTCTCAGTGATATTGTGATTCTCTGACTCTTCTTTCAACAAGAATGTGTGCTTATCAGTTTTCCTTTTGTTGATCAGATGAAATCAATCAACTGTATCGAAAATATCTTTAATGCATTAGAAAGTCACACACAATCACACAAATGTGAAATAATAATAAAAAAAAATTAAAAAACTGGTACATACATAAACATAAACATTTATTTCCGTAATTGAAAATATTACAAACATTTCCTTATTAACAGCCATGTGCAAGCTTCCCTACACATTACATCTTTGTAATGTCTATGTCTCTACTAGAGATGAACCCAGGACAGGTCTTTGTGTTTTCTAGTCATACACTCAACTGATTGTGCTTAGACGAAGTTCTCCCTAGCCAAGCAGTATAGCCCGGGTGTAGATTAATAGTTATCTCCCTTACATATTACACCCAAGACATTCTTTAAAAAATCAGTCAGACAGCAGAAATATCTAGTTCAATCTGACTAAAATCAGTCAAGTTCTGTTCCTCTATTTAACTATATTTGCACTGTGCTGACAATAGAGGCCAGTAGATTTGCACGACAGTGAATATTCTGATATATTAACTTTGGAACTATAGATACAATTATCTACATTCTGCAATATCTCTCAGTAAAATACCTCACATTTTTGTGTAAATAGCTTCTGCTTGGATTTGGTCCTCCGACGTCAGACTTCCTAAACAGGGGTTCAACTGTATAAAGAGAAGTCCTCACTAGATAAGCATTATATTCCAGCTTTTATATACCAGTGTTGTATATACCAGTGTTGTATGTACCAGTGTTGTAATTACCAGTCATATGTACCAGTGTAATATGTACCAGTGTTGTATATACTAGTGTTGTATATACCAGTGTTGTATATACCAGTGTTGTATATACCAGTGTTATATGTACCAGTGTTATATGTACCAGTGTTATATATACCAGTGTTGTATATACCAGTGTTGTATATACCAGTGTTGTATGTACCAGTCATATGTACCAGTGTAATATTTACCAGTGTTTTATATACCAGTGTTGTATATACCAGTGTTATATATACCAGTGTAATATGTACCAGTGTTGTATATACCAGTGTTATATATACCAGTGTAATATGTACCAGTGTTGTATGTACCAGTGTTATATATACCAGTGTAATATGTACCAGTGTTGTATATACCAGTGTTGTATATACCAGTGTTGTATGTACCAGTGTTGTATGTACCAGTGTTTTATATACCAGTGTTATATATACCAGTGTTGTATGTACCAGTGTTGTATGTACCAGTGTTGTATATACCAGTGTTGTATGTACCAGTGTTTTATATACCAGTGTTTTATATACCAGTGTTGTATATACCAGTGTTGTATGTACCAGTGTTGTATGTACCAGTGTTGTATATACCAGTGTTGTATATACCAGTGTTGTATGTACCAGTGTTGTATATACCAGTGTTGTATATACCAGTGTTGTATATACCAGTGTTGTATGTACCAGTGTTTTATATACCAGTGTAATATTTACCAGTGTTTTATATACCAGTGTTATATGTACCAGTGTAATTTACCAGTCATATTTATCAGTGTTGACAAGTTTTGGTGGCAAAGGAAAGCTGAAGTTCCGGAGAAAAACCACCAAACTACAGCCAGTACCTGGCAATTGCCCTACGTAGGTCTCAAACCCACAACACAGAGGTGGATCAGACCTGCTACCCAGAGGTGGATCGAATCTGCTACCCAGAGGTGGATCAAACCTGCTACCCAGAGGTGGATCAAACCTGCTACCCAGAGGTGGATCAAACCTGCTACCCAGAGGTGGATCAAACCTGCTACCCAGAGGTGGATGACTAGGGGGTTAATCCCATTAAACACCTGGCCACAATATATACATATGGACAGTTTGAAGAGGAAATGATAATATGACACACACAGTAACAGTCAACAATAGAATGTTATAGAAAAATATTGCACAAAAAATAATACACAGTAATATGGTGAACTATTTAGTGTTGTTTGAGGCACGTTGATGAATGTTTGTTCAATTATGTTAATCCAAAAAGCGAAATAGTCTTTATGCTACAATCTGCAAACGTACATAGTACTGTGAAGACAATGAATGAGAAGTAGTGATAAGTAAACAGTCGTAGGCTGTGTCTTAACTATTGTCTCTTCACTAATTCTAATACCTGTGTTTTGTCACTAGGAGTCTTTAGCTATTTTAGTTTATTTTGTAATCTTCAGTGTAAAAGTTTGGTCCCAAACTAGAAATTGGTGAGAAGAGAATTAAATTTTCTAACTTATATAATGTATATCATCATCAACATCTGTAGAAAACAATACATGATAGTGTAATATTTTGTTAAGTCGCCAGTTTGAGAAAGACACTCCTTGTTTAAACCTTATAAAATTTACATCTAGTCTGGACTGCACGTCTATAAATAGATTCCTAATTACAATGTCACTTGAAGCTACAAAATTAAGGTATAATATCACTTTTTGGATAAGTTTTTCAGTATCAAATAATTCTGTGTTTTGACAAAATATGTTTTTATTCTGGAGTAGTCTCTGTTTGAGAACACGTCTTTGTTCTGTAGTAGTCCCCCTTTGAGAACATGCCCATGATCTAGAGAAGTCTCCCATTAAAAACATGTCTCAGTCTGGAGTATTCTCCCTTTGAATATAAGACTACCATCTGGAGAAGTCTCCCTACGACTTCCTTGTGCTGGTCCACTTTCTCACAGAGTTTAATGGTGTAAATTTTAAAAGAAACATGGATACAGACACAAAAAAGGGTGATTTCATTTTGCTCATCAAATTCTTGACCATCATTAAAACCAGGAGAATTTTTTTTAAAACTAGTAAATTTCCATCAGACATAAAAGCCCAGGAAATGTTCATCAGACATGATACTATGGTGTAAATATGAACCAAACCTATGGAGAGGTTCTATCGCTATGACATAGATTTGGAACAGGACAGTACAGGACATGACGGATATGGTTAGTTTTATATGTCCCTCACAAAACAGCTGGGACAATTGAAGTAGAGAGAGCAGCTTCATGGTATATGAAATCTTGAGACTAAGACCATACAGACAATTCTCTCAGTTCCTAACATGAGAATTATCTCCATAACCAGCGACTACAAATGGACAGTGTCTCAATTTCAGTCCTACTTCTAATTAATTTCTAGTTTGTAATTCTTCAACAACAGCCACTTTTAAAACCTGGTCACTCTCTAGTACAAGGCGTTACATCATTATAGGGGGTGACAGAGTAGAGTCTTTGTTAGCTACTTTGGCTGTGAGCATCCTTTCTCTGTCCTGTTCCTTTTCCCTTTGTTCTTCCTTCAACAACTCTTCTTTCTGCTTCTGTTGTTGTAATTTCAAAGCCCTTTTCTGAAAAATACCATTAACATGAAGATAAAAGCATTGCAAAAAAATATCAAAAAGATATATGTACTTAGAGGACTTCATAAAAAAATTTCTACCTGTTTCTGTAACATGTCTATAATCTAATTGTTGACTTAAATTTTCCAAAAAATTGAAGAAAGAAGAAATATGAACTTTATTTGTTTTACAAATATGGCGAAACAACCTGCTGTAAATCACTTGTCTTTAGTGTGGGATTCATTTGTGTGTTCTTTTGTGGGGAGAGTTAATCGTGAATAAAAATCCTTTGTGATTATTTGTACAGGGACTTGGTTACCAATATCGGAGTCCATATAACTAATAGTTCATCATTAGTAAATTGTGAGTCATTTCCAGATAACTGTTTATGAAATTATGTATTCGTGAATATGTCTGAAGAGGTAAGTTTGCAAAGAATGAACAATTCAAGAAATCTAGGTGAATTACAGTATATAAACTTATATCAATCACTCTTGTTGGCCTAGATGTTAGCACTAAGCACTTGTGGAAGGAAACAAGAGTACCAAGAGAAAACATAGATGGTTTGGCATTCCCCCCCCCCCCCCCCCCCCCCCACTTTCATGTTCTTTGCCGGAAACAAACACCTGACAGCTAGGTGAAAGGTGAGTTTATTACCACTGCGCCATCCGACAGCTTAATATATAATACCCAACTAATAGTTTGTTGTCACAAAATCTTACCTTGAGTTTAAAAGACCGGTCAGACAATGACTGCATCTCCTTTCGTAGGTTGTTCAGTCTGGCATAATATTTTTTTGCTTGAGTCATCTGGAATGAGTAACATTTATATGAGATATTCACATTTATCAATAATATTATCTCTTTTTTGTACTTCATTTACTGTCCAATGAACAGCAAGGATAACCTTAGGGGAGGGGGTCTCCTCGTAGTGGCTACATCACTGATATATTGAACGATGAAATCTATTCAATCTGTCATGTATTTATCTGTATTATATTTGAATCCTAGAAAAATAAAAAAGGAAATCCCTCAAAATGTTTACATTCAACAAAATTTGTCAAACCAAGACAATTTAATTGTTTGAATATCCAAGTCAGTGCTAAACCACTTTTCAACAAGGGAAGTAACTCTTGTTATTTTTCAATGGACAACTAATGAACCGGTGAATAATGAAGAACTATCATCCATTAAGTTCTTTATGTAGCTACTGTGTCATGTCTTACTTTATAGCTTCAAGTTTAGGTTTTAAAATCTAAACATGAAAATCTTTAATTATGATAAATACACAATTCTTTCTACCATGTTACTTGATAATGGATGTCACATGTCCTACCGTTTCTACCAGATCCTCCATCGCTTTACACTCTGCAAACTTTGTGTTTTCTTGTTGTATTGTCTCTATAAGTATACCCTGGTTCTGTCTGTAATATAAAATTGACAACACAACAAAAAGTCTTTAGTGTCTTCATAGACTAAGATACATTCATCTATAACTAATGCTTTATCACTATAGCATTCAGTGAGGATGGAACAACTCAAGGACAGGGAGGATGGGACAACTCAAGGACAGGGAGGATGGGACAACTCAAGGACAGGGAGGATGGGACAACTCAAGGACAGGGAGGATGGACAACTCAAGGACAGGAAGGATGGGACAACACAAGGACAGGGAGGATTGGAAAATGAAGGACAGGGAGGATGGGACAACACAAGGACAGGGAGGATGAACAACTCAAGGACAGGGAGGATGGGACAACTCAAGGACAGGGAGGATGGACAACTCAAGGACAGGGAGGATGGGACAACTCAAGGACCTAGAACACAGGGGATCCATATGTGGTAATTTTCTACAGAAGATACTCAGTACTAATGTAATTGATGAAAACACTGTAACATAAATCCATATAAAAATATACCTACTTACTTTATACAGGAATCATATAACCTTATTCATCTCCAAAATAACTTACAGGATTTCGTTGAGTGAGCTCTTTGATTTCTGCAGGTTTGGAAGGTAGTGTTCCAGGGTTCCTAACGTCAACTTCTCTATAATAGCCGGGTCTATAGGGACACTGTCATCCACTGATACAGAAAAGGAGGACTGTGTTATTACTAAAGTTGATATATAAAACAAAATATATCTGACTAGACAAGAAAAAAATCTCATAACAACTGATTTTCTCAATTATCAATGATATTTTGAGTCATTATTGGAAGTGAAAATCAATAATCAATAACACTGCTGTGTGATTTTTTAGTATGATACTAATTCAGTTCTACTGTATACTGGGGTTATGTGGCAGTAAACATTTGCCAATATCTTGTAGACACTTTTATTGAAACCACAGCAGATATTGATGGGTACATCATAAATTTACCCAGTATGGGCTAATGCTAATTCTCTTATAACTACAGTACATTGAATTCTTAAAGATTTACAGGGTTTTGGCCACTTATATTTCAGCCAAAAAAATGCAATAATGTATGTAGTATGCAGCATACTGTTTCTCTCAGACAACCATGAAAGCTGTCTCTGTCCCCTTTAGCTTAGTCTCATGAATAATGCATATTTTTAATGTGATACAAGGTGTAACTTCTGCTATAGCAATACCCTTTTTAGTTAATAGGACACTACTACACTAGTCACGTCTAAATTCATTTACAAGGAAAAACATACAAGAATCTCAATGCTCAAATTTCTCCAAGTCATAGAGTTTATGTTTTTATAGCTGAATTGTCACTGGGATTCATACATGATCATATGAGAAATGTCTTCCTTTTACACTACTGTTTATGTATCAGACACAATATTAGTCAAAGTAAAACTTAGATTGTCCATGTGACTTGTCACCTCCTTCAATTTCTTGCACATGCGTAACCAATAGTTACGAAAATGTGAAAATGTATTGGGATATATTTGAGTGATGCCATCAGTGGCAGTGCTACATAGATTGTCCTGTGAAAGAATTAATCAAACGCCAAAACCATGGCCAATACCCTTTTAATGATGTTTCATATATTTCTTAACTTTTTTTGTAACTGTTTATTTTTCTGAAAATTTTCCAAAGCAATATATATACAATAGAACCACACACAAGGCCTTTACTAAAGTTCACACATGAATCATCGTGATAGTATCCTCAATAAATAAATCTATAATCTTACCTTCCTCATCTTTTTCCTTGTCTTCTATAGGAACATTACTTTTATATATCTTTTTTTTTGTAGTTTCAAAATTTTCAGCTATATATACAATAGCCACACACAAGGCCTCTCACACATGAATCATCGGGTTTTAAATAAATCTATAATCTTACCTTCCTCATCTTTTTCCTTGTCTTCTATAGGAACATTACTTTTATCATCTTTAGTTTCAACAGCTATTTCGGCCACATCTCCAGGGGTTTTCTCATCTTCTGCTGCACTAGCTTCTCCACTCATAGACCTTTGAAGCTCCAACTAACACAATAAAACCCTGTAATGAACATCTCCAGTATTAATGACTTCTTCCTTGTCAATCAGCTCTGTACCATTTTCCCCCGTTTCTCTATGTTAATTGTTGCAACTTGTCTTAGTAAACCAGTCTATCTTACTGCAGGTTTTATTACTTATAAACTAAAAATTCACTACAGAACAGCATTACAATACAAACAATCTAAGACAACGATGATTGTGTGTACAAATAATTTGTAACAAAACGAAATCTCTTGATTATGAAATGAATAATACACAATGGCACGTCAAAATCGCAGTAAACAAAGGTAAAAATATCAAAATCGCAGCTTACATCATGTATAAAATAATTCTGATTGGCCGACTGAAAGGTATTGAAATGAAAAGTTGAAGTTAAAGCAGAGCATACATACTTAATTCGTACTGAAATATCACGTAGGAATGAGAGTCCTGCAAGGATTTTGCGCGCCCGGCGATTCGTTAATTAAGACTTTTATATATTTTTTTCGACGATGCATTTTAAAAATGTTCCAGTCTGTCCATCAGAATGATTTTTGCGTGTTGTTAGACATGGGTGTCATGTCTATGATACAAAAAAATATTTCAAAAATGCCCCAGGCCTCGGACACTCATTAGGTAGATCGGACTTCCTAGGTACTGGTAGTAAAGACAGTATAGACGAGAAGGAAATTCATCTTATATTAAATGATTACAAACTTAAGATTATCAAACATTCATGATGCATAAATATTCCAAATATGCCATTTCTACTCGCCCAAAACTTATCTGCAAATATTTCCTTTTCAGAATAACCAGTCACCTTTTAGATCCCTCCTCCTTGTAGACAATCGGGTTAGAGTGACTTCCCTTCTCTACTTTTGCTTTACCACATATCTAATAGACGAAAATCTTTTTTTTTTTTCATATAATGAATATGTATATATATTTGTCCATTTACCATTAAAAGATTGTCAAGTATCTTGTTTGTTGAATAAAAGTGAAAAATGACTACATTTTATTGATTGAACACTCTGGGGAAATGGTAAATTGTGAGAGCGACATCTACATCCGGATAAAATATGGCGACCGAAAACATCTTGGGAACCGGTGAGTTATGGAGAAATGGGCCCGCTCCGGGTTCCTTATATCAGTTTCCCGGGAATAGATCATCCCAGACGAGCTCACAGATTGGACCAGCAAAGCGTACTATGTAAGTTTAGAAAAAGTCGCTTTAAGTTGTTCTTGGAGTAAGATTCTCCTTTCGTTTGATTGTCTAAACTCGTGAAGTTGTGCTGAATCATGAACCCCCCCCCTCCCTCTCCTATTTCCTCGTTTTTCAAAAGAAAAAAAATGAATTAAGAAATACTTATACGGCTATCTTTACCTCCTTAGGTACGAATATATCAGCCTCAGTCAAATGGATTTTGGAGATGAGTTACCATTTTACAGATATGTATCCGTATGTGGTTAACTCGGTTAAAATTATGGAAGATAAAGTTGAGAACAAATATTGAACGGTACAGACAAATAGTACAAATGCTTGGAATTTTTTGTTAAATTAAGACAACAGTTTTAAAGTAAGTCTTCAGTTAGTTTTACAATTCGACATATTTTTTTTTGGTATTGTCGTCGTAAAGTTTCACGCTGCTAAGTAACAAAGCTCCAGTGTATTATTTATAATTTTAGTAGGCAACTTACTGGACGAAAATTCTCTGGTATAAAATTTGTATGTTGTACGAATATGTATGTGGTATCAAAATGAATTGGTACAAAAATTTACACTCTTAAGTAGTTCAAAGCGAAGAAGTGCTCTCATTACAGTACAAACTAAGACCTTTCAATTCAGACATTTAAGAAGAGAATGTTTAAATAATTATAAGAAGTACCAAAATTGATTTTAAATGAGACTTCATTGTAATATAAAAAATGGCAATGTCATTCAGAGTAAGCACAGTATTATGTATTTCATCTGGCAACCATAATCATTTTATCAAATGTTTAAGGAACTCTTCCTTCCTTTAAAATTATATCTATGTTTTTTCTTACAAGTATCCTTTTGGACAGTCTGTATTTTCGCAGAGTAAGATACTTGTCGCATAGTCTTGTTCAGCCAAAGTCTTGTGTGCACACACATGATTGAGCCTCTTTGTGAGTGAGACAATTTGTCACTATATGTCCACTACTAGCGCTAAGCGCTAGCCAGAAGTCCACTTCTGTGTCACAACTTCACGACTGATAGTATGTGTGAAATTTTTCATCGTTTGTTTTTTTCATGGTGTCTGTTATCTTTAGGGATTGCGAGCTACATTCACTTTAAAAAAGGACTTAACCAAATTTAACCATTCAATGAAATTTATGAATTTACAGGGCTCCAACAGTAACTGGTACCTCTGTGCTGGGCCTGAAGTTTAATGGTGGTGTGATGATTGCAGCAGATATGCTCGGGTCATATGGTTCACTGGCCCGTTACAGGAATCTCTCTCGTCTACTGAAGGTGAACAATAGTACAGTAATTGGTTGTGGAGGAGACTACGCTGACTTTCAGTTCCTCAAGTCTGCTATTAATCAAAGAGTGTAAGTTTTTGTTCAGATTTTATAACAAGTTATCTTACTGATGCATGATCTTTATTCTGAACATGTAAATATATAGTGTTTCTTACGTTTCCTAATGTGTTGTACATGCCATTTAATAAACCCTACCATTTTATCTGTTGACCTGTAGAATTAACAACAAATGCTATTTCATTTGTCTATGACTGTGTCTGATATAAGGTCTAGAAAGAAAAATATCACATTGCTATGTGTGTTTCTGTTAACATGCCCAGAAAAGGGAAGGTTGGCCAATGATCTTTTTTGGCCCACTGTCATCAGATGATGGGCTATTTAAATGGCCCTGCATATATTCATCGTCTGTCCATAAACAATTTTTGCTATCACTTGTGACTTACTGGATGGTTCTGTCTCAAATTCCATATATATGTTTTCCTTGATCTTAAGTTTTTCCCATAAAATTTTTTGACTGATCAAAAAGATAAAATAGCTGGAAGACCGTTATCTTGGATTTTGACTTTGAAAACCTGCAATCGCTATTTCTTGAGAAGTTCTGGATGGATCTTTCTCAATATCATATATAGGTTCCTTTTGATCCCTAGTTGTGCTTGCTTGAGTTTGGGACTGATCAGAAAAACAAAATGGCTTCCAGGTAGCCATTTTGGATTTGGCAGGTAAAGATTATCATCGCTATTTCTGAAAAGGAATATTCAAATGTTTTATCATTAAGAGCAGAAACAGAGAAGAGAAAATAAGGAAAAAGATCCAACTTTCAAAGAGCTAATGAAAATCAAACAATGGTGGACGCCCCTCTGGGATATCTTGTTGTATTTTTAGAAGTTTTCTCTGTGTCAGCATTCCACCTTAAAGTTTTTTTATAGTGATCAAAGGCTCGACAAGGGAACATCCAAGGCTATCTTATTTGATATATTTATCAATAAAAGTCTTTGTTTCATGGTACAGTAAATTATTGCTTTGTTTTTGTTTGTTGGTTTTTTTTCCAGCAGTTGTCATGGGAATCTTTAACATTATCTCATTTAGAATATTTGTGATTGAGTTGTCATTTTTCAAATAAAAAAACATTAACTTAGTGATTAACTGGGATAAAACTACTTTTGTATTACAGTATAGATGAGGAGTGCTGGAATGATGGTTTCCAGTACACACCAAAATCTCTATTCTCTTGGATGACCAGGTTCATGTACAATCGACGATCAAACTTTGATCCTCTATGGAACACATATGTAGTTAGTGGAATACAGGACGGTGAACCGTAAGTATCAGATAATGACCAACAGTTTTGATAGAGTGGTCGGGTGGCACAATGGTAAAACACTCCTCTTTCACCTAGCCGTCCTGGGTTCAACTCCTGGAACGGACGTGGATAGGTACTCCGGTTTCCTCCCACAATAAGACCCCTCGTGCGCTTACATTCGGGTCAACAGAGTGATTAGTATAAGTTGAAATGACTTGTTTTGCAATTGTTGTATAATGAATAAAGTTTAGAGTTATAGTTGTGATGTCAATGGTAAAATTAAGCACATTATTTCCTGTTTTTGTGTCAACACCTTTTCTTAGAACTAGATTAGAACCAATTAGAGTAGGGTATACAATCACCACAACATAGTACAGGTTTATTGTGGTTGTAATACTTGATCTCCACACATTCAAAACTTAAATCTTATACATTTATGTAAAATATGCATAAAAAAATATTATATTCCCTAATGCTCTGAATTGACTTTGTCAGAATGGATTACATTTCTATGGTTACGTTTATTGCCAAGTTGTCTGTTCTTGATTGTATAGCTTGTACATATATGTAAAATATTACAACTTTCAGATTCTTGGGGTATGTAGACAAGATCGGTGTGGCCTATGAAGCTCCCACAGTGTCATCTGGCTACGGTTCCTACATTGCTCAGGTAACACTAAAGCTACAAAAGATTTTGTCTCTGATTAAAAAGTACTTGCCAGATTAGTAATATATGTGTGTTAATGAGTTGTTGTTATACTGCAGAATCAGATGATGAAGTCATTTTTTATGTCACCAGGAAAGCCTGTATATAGTTACATAAATAATGGTTTAGATGTGATTTTGTTATTTCATACAGAGATTTCCATGTGATAATTAGCAACAATCAGACACTAATTGGGTTACATGTCTGGGTTTTTTTACAATAACTTCAAATAAGAAAATGATTACATCTTGAAATCTGTTTCACAATATGTTTATTGCCTTAATATTTTAAAACCTTTTTTTTTCCATTTTAAAGGGTATCTATTTTAATAATCTCCCTGTTGATATCTACAACACATCCACTTCTGTCAAGTTTCTTTGTTTAATTTCCATTAAAATACCAAAGTGGATCATTTGTGTCGTGTAATCAGTGTGATATTTTCTGCTCAGATAAACTGTTGTTTAAATTGCAAAATTCTCAAAATTCATCACAAGAAAAATCAAACCAATCAAAATAAACTACAAACAAAAGATAAAAAGACAAAAAAAGCACTATAAAGGAGATGTAACAACTAGCTGGGATTTTAGGTTTTGAGTTTTAATTAAGCTGAGTGAGAGTGAGGACACCTTATTAAATCCAAGCAGGTGATGACTCTCTTTTAAATATTAACAAAATGATGAAATTTTTTGCTCCGTTGAGTTTCTATAGAATTTGCTTGTTTTTGTCAGCCCTTACTGAGGGATGCCTATGATAAGAACCCCAACATGACGATGGCCGAGGCTGAACACCAGATTGAGAGGTGTATGAAGGTCCTGTATTACAGAGATGCTCGCTCACTAAATAAGGTAAGGGATCAAAAGAAGGAACATTTTCTTTGTAAAAACTGTAGTCATTTAAGGTTTTGATTGTTACTTCATACATGTAATATTGTCTATTAGTGTAAAACTTCATTATCACCTACTGGCGTCATAGTTCATCATACAACACAAGTTCCTATGCAAAAATATGTTACCTTAATGTTTTCACCAACTAACCTATTAATGATGTGATGAGTATTTATTTGAATTGGTTAAAATTTTGGATTAATTGTTACAGTATGAGGTAGCTGTTGTAACTAAGGATGGAGCCATGATCAGATCTAATGTAGAAGCCAACGCCAACTGGGAGATCGCTCATCTTATCAAGTAAGTTGTTAGAAAATTAACATTAATTCTAAGTTCTGACCCCCTTGCGATGGTGGAGTGATAAAAGCATCTACCGTCTTCATCACTAGCCCTCCACCTCTGGGAAGTGAGTTGGAGACATGGGGCAGTTGCCACATACTGGGTGCAGGTCAGTGTCTTTTCTCCAGGAATTCTGGCTTTCCTGCTTTCAGTCAAACCTGGTACATCTTTAAATGATGTCATTGGGACTTAAAACAATAATAAACTCCTGGTCAGAAGATCATCAGACATAACAGTGTCAGATGAAGATTCGAGGTGAATGGTTTGATAACACCTCTTCTGAGTGGTTTAGGTTTCTCAGAAAGTTGAGAAACTTACCAATGTGTCGTGGTTATGTCCTTAAGAAGGACATTTTGTGTTTATTGCTCTAGATATGAGCTGCCTGTAGTTTGTTCATCCAGCAGTTAGAACAAGTAGACCCATCTTCAAAACAACCTTAGTTGTTGAAGGGACTATAAATACCAGTGATTTCACCCATTGGCTGTCCGTCCTTCTATCCATCTGTCAACTTTTTCTACTACTAGTCATGAGCAAATTTTGTCAAAAGCGTCCTTGGAGGAACGGGAACAAATTCCTGGAGGAGTGATAGCACTTAACCAAAATTTGATCTGAAGCATTCCTAAGGGAAGGGTAATCAAGTTTTTGTGAATGGTGGGTCTCAGCTCCCTGAGGGGGAGGTCCAATATTGAGAGCAAATTCTTTAAAATACTAATTTCTGCAGGAATGATTTGTTCATTGTTGTCTGGTTGACCCCCTAGGGGACAGAGGGTTGGGGTTCAATAGGAAATTTAACATGTTTCATGTTCTATTCTTCAACCAAGTATAGCCAGGTGAATGAAATGCCCTATGAGCCTTTTGTTGTGATGTATGTTGAAGTGTATATCTCTTGCGATTTCCATCCCGCGTGAGTCCATGTTACAATTGAATCTGCATCTTGTAAAAGAAATTATATTTCACAAAATATATGAATAGCTGTGGTTGTAGATATTAAAAACATGTAGTTGAGAATAGCTAAATTTTCTAATAATATGAAATCATTTCTAAATTGAATTGAAGTAATTGCTTGTTTTAATTTTAACACATTATTTGTAATCTATGGCAGAAACATTTTACTCTCTGATGCCTCTCTGAGTTTTGAGCATCAATTTATATCAGAGATTGGTTCTTATTTAAACTTGTATGAAATCTGTAATGGCTTGAGGAATTACACCTTTTTGGAAATGTATGAGGAATTGTTTTTCGCTGATTTTAAACATTTTATTTTTCAGGGGTTATGAATGATGATAACATTTACTTTATGGAAGAATTGTGTGCAAAATAGTGAAGGAAGGACCAAGACGTTTCTCAGTTCTAGTTTCAACCTGGATTCCTTGAGGATCCTGAATCTTCAATATGTTTACTTTGTGATGATAAGATAATTTGATCAATCAGTCCAAAGACAGTTTTTCCATCTACAGACACAAGTGCTAAATTTGACAGATGATTGAATGTTTATGAGAGTATGTATTTCATGAAAAATATAAAAAATCAACGTTTTATATCATACGAAAGGAGAATGTTAGTGAGAGGATGTGCTGTTGTAATAAAATTGTAAAATCATATTTAGTCTTTCTTTATTGTTTCTGCTGGTACTTTCAATTTGATTACATGCCAAACATGTCTTAATGTGAATATGGAGTTCAAATCTCACTTCATCTGTAGTCTGTAGCGCTTATGCTCACTGACAATTTTAGGGGAGCATATAGTTGCATCTTGTTTGTGCATCTGTCCTTTTGTGTCTGGAGCAAAACTTTGCCTACAGATAAACAAGGATTATGAAAATTAAGTGTATACATTGGTCAAACTATGGTGATGAGTAGTGTACTAAATTCTAGGCCCACGACCCCTCAATTACAGAGTTATTGCCCATTGTTAAAAATACCTTTTCCAGAGCATAACTTTGCCTGTATTGAAGGAAGGGTAATGAAACTTGGTGTATATATTGTTCAAATGAAGATAATGTGCAGTGTACCAACATTAGGCATGCAACCCCTTAATTACAGAGTTATTGCCCTTTGTTAAAATTTTGTATGGATAATTTCTTTGCCTGAATTTAAACTAGTATATTGAAACATGATGCTTATATCAGTCATACAAAAGACCGGAACAACGGAGAAGGGAATAGCCCATGACCCTTCTGTGTAGAGTAAAAAATCTGTGTCCGTGCAAAAGCATTGCTTGCATTAAAACTAGGATCATAAAACTTGCTGTATATGTAGGTCATACTAAGAGAATGTGCTGTTGACCATATTCAGGCCCTGCAACCCTTTGATTACAGAATTATGGTCCTTTGAACAGTGATAATTCTACACATGATTCCTGAGTCTTGTGACTCATAGAATTGCTTGAAATACTTAAAGTTAACATTGTTAGATCAGTTGTTTTCTACAATAGAGTTGAATAGGTCTTGTGAAAACAAGGATGAATCTTTTTCATATTTTACATTAGGGCACACCTTGGCAGTTTCTGGTTTGCAGAATAAATGTAATTTTGTATTTAAACTAAACAAAGTTTTTTGAAAATTTGATAGAATTTTCTTCTATAGGATTTAAACTGCAGGTAACAATGACCTTAAAACTAAGGCCCACAGCTTCTCAAAAGCTATGTGTAACTGATGAAATGAACACAAGAGATTTATACAGGCACAGCCATTTTATTTCAAACTTTTGACATTTACAAAATATAGAAATACACTAACTCGGCATTCAGTCATTCTTACAGAAACATAAAGATCACAGATATCATGGGTAATACTCTCCAGTCTCTTATAGATTTAAAACAAGTCTGTCAGTGAAATATACGATTGTTGTTCAATGTGAAAATAATGACATTAGCACAAAATATGGACAAAAATGTGAATGTAAATACACATCCTTTGTGTTGTACAGGGAATATGGCAGTGATTCATAAATTCTATGATAAAACAATAACAAACTTTAAAGTAACAAGTAAAACCAGAAAATATCTGTAAGGTGTGACCACTTCAATGAACTTGATGAAAATATCTGTAAGGTGTGACCACTTCAATGAACTTGATGAAAATATCTGTAAGGTGTGACCACTTCAATGAACTTGATGAAAATATCTGTAAGGTGTGACCACTTCAATGAACTTGATGAAAATATCAAATGATATCTTTGACCGGATACCACCTTAAGATCAGATGTAGACCTTACTACTGTTTACTATTGTGCCAGTGACCTTGTTGTTCCGTGTAATAAATTCATTGTTAATTGAAAAATCATCCAGTAAGCTGTACATGTGATACTCAGGGTTAAATATGAGAGGTTCTAAAGATATATCATTTATCGGACGGAACGACATGGGATGGACTATCAACATGGGTTATACCCCCACCCCCTAAATATGGTAGAGGCATGGGGCATAAAAATGACCACAATATATATTCCATCCAATTAGCTCACTGCGCCCTCACAAAAACAAAGGGATTAAAACCATTTACAGAGAAACGTTTCCATTTGAAACCATGATGTCATTTTTCTAACATTACTTTATGTCGCCATTTAAGACTGAAGACTATATAGGCAGATCAGAGAGGCAAGAGTTTAATTTGTGCACCTATCTTCCTCTTCTGAATAAAGGTGTGAAGACACTTTTAGGGGCAGGTGCGCTTACTGGGTTGTATACGGTAAATGTGCTTAAGCAATGCCACTCATGTAATATTCACGTATATTTTATTTTTTAATTGACACTATATTTCAAACTAACATCAATACGCGATCTATGTTGGATTAATAACCCTTGTCTTGAAATGAAAGAAAAATTGTTAATTGGTAAGGACATGAACAATAAGATGTTCTGTTTATAGATAACAATCGATACAACATTGACGTGCTTGATAAATTAATCACGACGCTTTGTCAAAACTTTCTTTAGAATTTGTGGTAAATTGTCTAATTTTAAGACAAACAATTATTTCTATTTACATATGTCATCTGCATTAAAGGGAAGTTATGATTAGCTGTCCAGACGTCAACAATATTATAGGTACGGGAAACGTGATCATAACAGTTACACAGCTGATTATTAGTGTGGTAACAATATAGATTAAAATTAAAGCATATTCTTTTAAATTAAACACATCATATGGTGCCGCAGTGGATTAACATCCGCACTTGTATTGGAGCCCAGGACCAGTATTAAAATAGTCCTATGATTCACACTGTAAATTACATATATTCTCTCTTTAACAAATTTGACACAAAACTACTGATATGACACGACAAAAAATATATTTATTCGGTATTCTTGTTGTAAAGCGGAGAAGCGTATATTACACTGAAATGCTTCCATATTGAATATAAATATAAGGAAAGAGTTCCTTTTGAACCCCCCCCCCCCTTACATCTTACAATTAACATTAGAAAAATAATCATTAAATAAAAATGAAAAAACAAAACAAAAAAAAAACAACTTAAACATAACATGAAATGAAGATCATTTCATTTATCTAATGAACTTGGTAAACATTTATCTAATGAACTTGGTAAACATTTATCTAATGAACTTGGTAAACATTTATCTAATGAACTTGGTAAACATTTATCTAATGAACTTGGTAAACATTTATCGTTATTATGTATCAAATAGGTTTATAGAAGTTTTCACTAAAGAAAGGTTGTCGCCGGTCAGTGATATAAATGTGAAACTATAAAAAGAAATCTGCTTTAAACTTAGAAATTTACACGTTTTTTCTCTATTATAAATAGTCATTTTGATTCCATGTTCTGTATCGATTCGACCTGTAGCTTTCATATAACTGATTCGATCTGTCGAAACTACTGTTCGAACTAAGTCCATATTTCACATACAAAGGGGTAGGTTTTGTCTGTTTTTATCAACATGCCCACTGACAAAGCACTCGACATTTGACATTAACAGCCGTCAGGAGGGAGAAAGATCTTTGCGCACACAATTTACTATATCCATCACGAAGTAACTGGAATTTGTACTTCCACTTTGCGAGATACTGTCTAGAAATACTACTTGAGATAAGACAGAATCATCACAGAAATATTATACAGAAGATACCATAGCGTCAAATCCACACGGGAACCAGAAATAATTGCCCCGATCGTCTTGCATTGACGTCCTTCTTGTAAAAATGGCGAGGACACCATCAAAGCCATGCTCCAATGGATAGATAAAAAAATGAATACGAGAACATGTACCTTGAATTCAAAAGGCAAATTCGGAGGCTGTATATAGAGATTATGCTCATAGATATGATACCATTGTCACAAACCACCGGAACAAAAGGAGAGAGCAGAATCACATCCGTGCAGCTATTAATACACAGGAATATTTTGATTGGGCATCACTGATGATGAACAAACCACTTGAGAAGAGCAATCAAGAAAGGCAATGAAGGGACGAAAGACAAGTGTTGTCTCTTGTATAAAAGGGGAACCGTTAACAGAACATACCACTGTCCGTGGGGCGGGAGTTCGTGCCAGATGCCCGTTGTCCTTAATATACTGGTCCGTCCTCGGGATAAAACCTAGGGTGAAGATGCAAGAACTGCGGCGCATCTTATGTCAGAGAAACTAGTAAGATATTTGAGGTCGGTCTTGAACTTAAAACAACACAGAGAACCAAGAAGGCAGGCATTATTTTGACACAAAGTTAATACAATGCTTGTCGGGATCGATAAATCAGACATTACAGACACGTGTATGATTGGCTAGGTTAACACCAAAGTAGTGTATAATACAATATTTCAAAGTGGTACATTTGGGTCAATTTTAAACAGGGACGAGGGGGCCTATTGACTCTTACAAAAGTGTGACTAGGTTTTATCCGAATCTACATTCTTATAATTGTACGTAGGTACATTGTAGTCTCCTGGTGTATTTATGGAAAATGACCATTTCGATCTGTTTCCGTTATAATCTTGTCGCGATTTGTAAATGTACAAAGGTTTGAATTACAGTCAAAATGTCACGTGGGTTCATTACCATCTTGTACACTGTATACATTTGTGTCAATAAGCTTCACATTCGTAATTTGTTTGGTGAAGGGAACAGTCTCGCCACCGAAGATTTTCTTTGTCACGTGGATATTGGCCACGTGATCACATATGTACAGCACTTATCATTTTTTATCAAACAGGAGTTAGTATTTATCACTTTTTACCACTTCACACAAGACTGACTTTAATATGTGATTTTACAGACGCTTTCTTGTAAATCTAGGTCACGCCATTTAACACTTATGTTGTAGGAACCAGGGTGTGTAACCTCGTAAATGACTTCATAAAGTCCATCCCCAGTGTAGACTACGCATGTCTCAGTTACGCAGTGAGGCTGCGGTCCATAAATGGAGACGGTTGGACAGCCAGTGACGTCAGAGGTTGTCCATATCTGAAAGATGGTAAAAAAAACGTAGCATTTTAATGAGTGTAATGATATCATATTTATCAGAATTGTGTTTTATTCGCTTGAACTGCTCCGTGTCAATTATTTGATTTTCTAATGTAAGTTTTTATCTATTTATTTGTGAAGTTTTCAATGCAGCAAGTTGATATTGTCAAACGGAAAAAAGATGCAGAGATACAGAACAGAGTAATGCATAACAAACTACCGAAAAGGAAAAAAAATCTTTCATAACAGTGACCTTGACCTTTGCCCTCTTATAGGAAATCCTATACATACTAAATGTTTTGTTCGAGAACATGACGGACTGATAAACGAATGAAGGCGACACAGTCAGAACGGAACTTTGATTGGAGAAGGGGGGATAATAATAATAAAACAACAAAGAAGGGTCATATGACAATCGAGGAATTTACAGATAGTTGTCTGACAAATCTGATGAATTCCACGATAATATTTCTGAACATATTTGGTATAAATTCATACAAATATAAATGAGAAGTATAGCGTTTCGAAGCAAAATTGTTTACTAACTGTTGCATTTGGCCCTTCGGATCAGATGCCGTAAACATCGCAAATTAGGAGAGATTTTTATAAGTTGGAGAACAAGGAAGATGCAAGACATTTCAGAGAAAGAACGAAACATATTTTTGTATGAAGTTTGGTAAAGCGAAATATTCTTATTCTAGAAGGAATAAGGAAGTGGGACAAATCATATTTTAATAATTAGCAGCAAGTGAGAAGATATTTCGGAAAGTTCTTATACACATACTGCGGAATTTGATATCTAATTGTAGAACTATTCCATAAAATGGCACCAACTATTTATTTATTTAAATAGATAATTTGACACAACGGTAATACTGGAGACTTTTGTTGTTCTTAAACAAATACAAGAATGGCTATCTGTGCTGGGCTTTAAATCTTCAGAGTCGTCGACTACGGACATTCTGACTTACCAACGTAATTATCTCTATTATTGTCTGAGTTTATGATTTTTGTTAGATTTTACTTTTGTGAATTCAAAAAATGAACATTTATGTTTCTGAAACTTGCATCTTTCGATGAATTTGAATGGAACATTTGTAGCAAACATTCTCACAATAGTGGTAGTAATGTTAGAGGTTGTTGTTTTAAAACGAAGGAATAGAAAGTGTTACCTGAAAATTGTTTTTAACGCCAACCTGTCCCAGTGTTAGTCCACTACCGTCCAGATAGAAGCTGTCAGTTTTTTTATCAATACTATCTTGGTCTATAGTTGGTAAAAACCATAGTTTTTCTTCCGGCAATTCAAATATGTCTACATCACAAAATAGGTTGTTTACATTTCCGGAAGTTGATTCCATATCCGATTCTGATGTCTCGATATCGATTGAGATGGTAGGACAGCATGATAGCATGTACAGGGTACTGATACAATTGAACACTGAAGTTTTTACTTCAAATGCAATTGACGATTTGAAATGAGTAGGTAATTTTTGGTTGATATCCCTTTTCTCATTTCGTAGTCCGCCATGTTGAGTCACGTGATGTCCTCTATCGTTGTGATAGCATGGTGTACTGGATAATTGATTTTCTCCATCTTTCTGTCCTTTTACTGAAATATTTTTCTTCTGGATTTCGTCCGCTACGTTCTCTAGATGTTGAAATTGTTGAAGATTTTGCAATAAATCTGTTCGAGCTTGTAGGTTAATACCAAATCCTGTGTAATTCTCTTCAGTACTATGTCCTTTTGTTTCACGGATTCCTTCCTGTACCAAGGGATATTCTGGCATCCTGTTAACTTCAGACGAAACGTTTGTCCTCGCTAACACATCGTCTTCCCACAGATCAGTATGACCTAATACAGTATTCGTGAAGGTATCACCAGCTAATGTGATTTGCTGTTTGGTGTGGTTTGAATTTGCCTTTGTAATGAAATCATCTTTGAAAACACCGACTGTTTGTAAGAATTTTCTTTGTGAATCCTTGGACACGCCGAATCCTTGATATGACACTTCGAGGTCTCCATCACGTGATGAAAACGAGCCGAGATGGTTTTCATTCGAAGTGTTAATTGTGTCTAAACAACATTCACTGATGTGCTTATCCAAACCTCGTGTATGGCAACATTCTTTCGAATCACCATCATTATTTACGTAATTGTCATTGGTGAGTTCAGGCTCTTCATCACTAACGTTACCAGTGCCGTCGTGATTGATCTGTTCATTGCTGGGTGTTCGTGTTGTCCCAAGTTCGACGTTTCCATTTTTCTGTTTCCTAAAATATCTTCCTTCATTTTCCACTTCATTTTTCTCCTGGAACCAAGCTTCATCTCTATTCTCTTCATCATTTTGTATAAACTGGTTAAACAGACCAATCTTGTTTGCAGTTTTGATTTTGGATTTAAATAGGGTAGGTAGAACTCCAGATACGTGTATTTCAGAGTCAGAAAGGCTAAAGGCTTGTCCTTTTTTCAAATGCCGTAAGTATTTTCGTTGAGTAACTGTACAATCCTGTAGATGACCAGACACATTGGAGGTTGACTTTTCGGAACGCTCCTGAGAATTTGAATAAAAATACCCTTCATTATCTATAGTAGAATTCGGGGTGCTGTTACTCCTGGCCAATTTCGGGTCAATGTGAATTATTCCTCGATAAGGGCGCCTGTGCACCAATCTGTGGCCACTCAAAATTGTCCGGCTGGTATCTCCCAACATAGTTATTGCTGATAGAGGCTTCAAACTGTCGTCTGCTATTCCACTGTCGACTGTGTCTGTCGTTGACTGGCGAATCGCTTGTCTGATTCCCAATTCTGGCGACTCTATGTCATTAGATATAATGCCGACTTCTGAATTTAACCTGTCGGAACATCCTTTATGTAAAGGTGAAAGATCGACATTTTTCTCCAACCCACTTTCTACAATTTCAGAAATATCTTCTTCCGGCTGTAATTTTATACAAATTCGTTTACGAGTCAATCGGAAACATGACATGCGCAGTGTTGATCCAGTTGCTTCTATGATGTCATTTACAGTTACTTGGGTACATTTCTCATGATGTGGAGTCGGGACAACAATATCCATTGAAGACGAAAGGCAGACTGCCGACTCGGAACTTGGAATTGCTCGAAACATCATTCTCTTGGTGTCTGGAAGCTGATTTTCAATAGCAGTATCATATTGTCTCCTCACCGCGTCTTCAGATTTCCAACTATGCCATTTTGTGTCTTCAAACGTTTTTGATGTATCCAAAACACTGGCGTCTGAGCTAGACCCGCTAAGTATATTTGTTGGTGGAATAGGATTTTCGTTGCTTGACTGATCTTTCTCTGTCTGTTCACTGTTATCAATGGTTGTATCCTTCTGTAAATCACTACCCTGGTGTGTTAACAGTAACGGAGATGTGTTGTTACACTGAACTGTCACCGTGTTTGTTGTCTGCTCGGGAACCTTATTAACACTCTCAGGTAACCATTGGTTATTTATCCAGCTTTGCAAGTAGCATTCCTGCTCAATATGTCTGTCTACATCTTGTAAATTATCCTCTTTTGTACAAAGTGATGACTTTTTCAATTTATCCCTGTGTTGGTGATCATATTTTAATATATCACGATGGCGTGTTGAGTCAGCACAATATAAGATTTGGCCATTGTCTGTGTCAGGTTTCGAAAATGCTGACGGGAATGAAGCAGCTGTAGATTTTACTGAAGGGAAACAAGATCGATAGTTGTCGGCGCCCTCACTGTAACGTGATAGCAGATTTAAGTCCGGGGATAAAACGGCTGCTGATGTCGGATTATCTGACACGACAGTAGACTTACATGACGCATTTGGACTAATGATGTAGTTGCTATTCTCATTGTGTATTTGTTGTTGTGTGTGTTTCGGGTTATCTCCCCTTCTGGAACATATTGAAGAGGACGACGATGAGACTTCGTCTAACCTGCAATTAAAGCTAAAATTAGAAAAACATGACGTCACATCTCCACTAGTTGATGACGCCATTTCACTAGCAGGCGTTGACGGGGTAGTATAACTTGACTGACTTACATTAGAAAACCGACCTTGACTATCTGCTGATGTTTGTCGTAACTGTTTGTTGAAAGAATATGATTTCTTTACACTACACGTAGACTCGCTTGGTTCTCTTTCGTTACTGCTAGTGATGTTGTTTTGTGATGCTATCTCTTCATTTACCCGCAGGAGACATTGTTTATCTGTATTAAAGGAGCTGTGTTCTGTATTAAAGGAGCTGTGCTCTGTATTTGAGGAGCTGTGCGCTAAATTTGACAAGAAATTTCTTTCTTTAATGAGATTCTGTGATTCCTTTGGTAGAAAGCTATTCTGACTTCTTATACGTTGATGTACTTCTCTGTCTGAGGTACAGTTAAGACCATTCAACATATCGACACTAGTTTCATACCTTCCTGTTGTTTCCTGCTGTTTTTTCATATCACGCTCGTTCGCCTGGTTTCTTGCTGATATCGTAGATTCCATGCCGGGGTTGTTTGTGTGGGTGATTTCGTCAGTAATCTCAGATTTCGCCAAACCTGTTTGCTCTGATTCACTTGAGTATGCCTGTCGAACAGTATATGTCTCGCCTATCGATGATCGCCTTCTAATAGTTTTTAACGAACTTCTACTTCTGTGGCTGTTGTCGCCTGTAGATCTCTCGTCCTCTGTTACCTCAGAGTCTGAGTTTAGGCTCGTCTCCCGGGATAATGACGGGACGGACGGTGAAGAATCATGTACGCTGATTTCTTCACCATTTCTTGCTATAACTTTCCGCAGAACTCTTTTTTTCCGTATGGTGAACTGCTTTTTAAGTCTTCCCCGTTCGGATTTCCTCGGTGACTTGATGCTATTTTTATTTCCGTTTTCGTGTTGAGGAGAGTTAGAGTGATCGTCTAGAGATCCGAATGACATTGAATCAAGAATGAATAACTTCTCCTTTGTGTCCCCAGTAGTTCTTTGTTTAAGATCGCATGGTTGATAAATTTTGACCTTAAATGGCGATTCACCAACATGTTGTGTCTCAGTTTTGATAGAAATGGTATGGATTCCTGCAAATATTGGAACAAATGCGAACAAAAATGTTCCTAAACCATTGCACTGACACGAAAAACTTATTGTGTTATTGTTCACGTTTCCATGTGCCAGTCTGTCACAGTTCGTCACGCGTAGGAATATATTGCCGAACCCGTCGTCAAGGTAACCGTGAACTTGTTCTGTTGGGGCCAATATCCTGGGAAATTGCTTTGCCGTGCAGTTGTCTTTCTTGTCTGTTGTTAATAATTTCTTTCTGTCTCTGGGCAAATACGCGTTTAGCATGTTTACTATCTTTTCACAATACAAATCGTGGCGAGGTCCCCGGATGTTGATAGATATATCGCGAATTTTATTTATATCCGTAGTATAGAATGTAAACCTAGCTTTTCGACCAGTTACCCCAGTGTGAAGCCCGGACCCTCGCACGTGACATTGTGAGGGGACTCCCAGCGACACGTCAACAGCGCGTGGTTCAGGACTGCTCTGTTCGGATAGCCATTTTATGACGCAGATGAACTGAAAAATCTTGTGCTCTGTCCGCCTGTCCGCTATTGCCATTTCTTCCGGTGATATCATATTCTGAAGATATGAAGTCGAATAATGGCGATGATATTATGTGTTACAGATTCAGTAATTTATGTTTTTCTAGGCCAGGAACGTATAGATATAAGATTGTTTGGATTATCAGTGTTTTGAGTTAATTGAAAATTTTCACATTTTCTATGGTCACCTTTGATTGGCCGGTGTGGATGTGTATGATATTAACAAGGAAAATAGTTCATTATCAATGTAAACCCCTGGCAATCTGCAAATACAATAAATTCGAATATTCAGGCCCCAATAACTATTTAAAGCATACCCTTAGACATGACCACGTGATACCCGGATTTGGTGACGTACTTACCGCAGGAAGGTTGAGGCATTGTTGTGCCAGTTTGATCCCCAGTCTACAATTAATGATGATATTGTGATGCTGCATATTAAGATAGTCTGAACAAACCCCAGGGCGCAGCGCCTCTAGGAGAGCACACAACGCTATCCCATCATTCCACGACGATGAAAAATTAACAATGTTTTGGTAAGGTATTTTATTCTTCAGCCACGCCAGCAGTATCTTCTTCCTCTTTTCATCTGATTTATAAATATTTATTATTATCAACAAGACTCGTTATAATTATGTCCTACAGTATTAACAACGTTTAAATGTTAATTGCAAATTAAGTGACATTCATTTTCAATAATGGAACTATTGAAAACATGAAACAAAACAACAAATCTATGATCGTACCATAACATAAATAACTTATAGATCGATGATCCAACATTGTTGTCGTTAACAACCATCTTGTTTTAATTCAATTGGAATACTTTTTTTATTTTTTTGCGAAAAAATTCTCACCTGAGCGGAACAAATCCATTATTCTCTCCGGCCATCTTGGCTTTACTGGTATTTTCCCGTTGTCGTCTGTGAAGTACAATCCTTTATAGCGCCACTTTATCACGTGAACAGGGTTCAGTTGCCATAGATGCCGGACATGGGATGTAAGTGAACGGGCCAAGAGTTTTATCAGTTCCCATAACAACAGCATGAAATGGAAGTGGTCTACAAACACAAGGCAGTAATGACAAACATTTATAAAGGGATCAGACGTCCTCTAACCCGTCAAACCATTCATTTATATGTCTGTTAAAGCTACATGAATTACCGAAGTCTTTTAGTATATTTCCATTTCAACATGAAAGATCGGAAAGACATATATGTCTTGTCGCTAAAGCTATTTTTATCCAATATACGGGTCGGAAGATCTCATATCGTACTACGATAAAAGTATTTCGACCATCAGTCATTTAAATCAATCACAGATGTAGTTTCTTGTTTTTAATACGTTCACTATACATTCAGCGCTTGCTTATTCATCTGACTTTAAACATTTTATGTCTCTGTGAGTTTCACACACACACACACACACACACACACACACACACACACACACACACACAAATGAAATCTCTTATTTCTGTCTTGTGCTGTAACGATTTCCATACAGTAACAATCCATATAAAATATTATGTCGTTTTCTTGTAGCGTAAATGAAGATTTTGTGGTTGCTAATGTTTACAGGCAATGACAACCCAAACTGCGATGTGGGGTGTTGATGTTGTTTTATTAATGTAGTGTAGGGTGTATACTGTTGAGTAGACAACCCCAAGTATCGACTGAGAGTGACCAAGCTCTCTGTTGAATTTATACCACGGTCCTATATTATTCAACATCTTAACAGATAAAGACAATTGACCAGAATAATTACTTAATGGTATTAAACTCTACGTGACCGACACGTATTTCTACCATGTATTACATATAAACACAGGTGTTGAGGTTTCAGATATAAGGGTTTATGGAACAATATGATGCAATACTCAAAGGTCAGCTGAACTCTATAATAGCTCATTTAAAGGTCAGTCCAAGATTAATTCTTATAATAGTTCACATATCATTTAGTATTGGTAGTGAGCTAGTTTATGTAACATTGTACAGCTATGTAACTTTAGGTCAGCTAGTTTATGTTAAATTGTACACCTATATAACTTTAGGTCAGCTAGCTTATGTAAAATTGTACACCTATATAACTTTAGGTCAGCTAGCTTATGTAAAATTGTACACCTATATAACTTGAGGTCAGCTAGTTTATGTTAAACTGTACACCTATATAACTTGAGGTCAGCTAGTTTATGTTAAATTGTACACCTATATAACTTTCGGTCAGCTAGTTTATGTTAAATTGTACACCTATATAACTTTAGGTCAGCTAGTTTATGTTAAATTGTACACCTATATAACTTTAGGTCAGCCAGTTTATGTCAGCTAGTTTGTATGTACACCTATATAACTTGGTCACAGCCTATATAACTTGAGGTCAGCTAGTTTATGTTAAATTGTACACCTATATAACTTGTACACCTATATAACTTTAGGTCAGCTAGTTTATGTTAAATTGTACACCTATATAACTTTAGGTCAGCTAGTTTATGTTAAATTGTACACCTATATAACTTGAGGTCAGCTAGTTTATGTTAAATTGTACACCTATATAACTTTAGGTCAGCTAGTTTATGTTAAATTGTACACCTATATAACTTGAGGTCAGCTAGTTTATGTTAAATTGTACACCTATATAACTTTAGGTCAGCTAGTTTATGTTAAATTGTACACCTATATAACTTTAGGTCAGCTAGTTTATGTTAAATTGTACACCTATATAACTTTAGGTCAGCTAGTTTATGTTAAATTGTACACCTATATAACTTTAGGTCAGCTAGTTTATGTTAAATTGTACACCTATATAACTTGAGGTCAGCTAGTTTATGTTAAATTGTACACCTATATAACTTGAGGTCAGCTAGTTTATGTTAAATTGTACACCTATATAACTTGAGGTCAGGTCAGCTAGTTTATGTTAAATTGTACACCTATATAACTTTAGGTCTTTTATGTTAAATTGTACACCTATATAACTTTCGGTCAGCTAGGTCAGTTAGTTTATGTTAAATTGTACACCTATATAACTTTAGGTCAGCTAGTTTATGTTAAATTGTACACCTATATAACTTGAGGTCAGCTAGTTTATGTTAAATTGTACACCTATATAACTTGAGGTCAGCTAGTTTATGTTAAATTGTACACCTATATAACTTGAGGTCAGCTATTGTACACCTATATAACTTTAGGTCAGCTAGTTTATGTACACCTATATAACTTGAGGTCAGCTAGTTTATGTTATATAACTTTAATTGTACACCTATATAACTTTAGGTCAGCTAGTTTATGTTATGTTAATTGTACACCTATATAACTTTAGGTCAGCTAGTTTATGTTAAATTGTACACCTATATAACTTTAGGTCAGCTAGTTTATGTTAAATTGTACACCTATATAACTTTAGGTCAGCTAGTTTATGTTAAATTGTACACCTATATAACTTTAGGTCAGCTAGTTTATGTTAAATTGTACACCTATATAACTTTAGGTCAGCTAGTTTATGTTAAATTGTACACCTATATAACTTTAGGTCAGCTAGTTTATGTTAAATTGTACACCTATATAACTTGAGGTCAGCTAGTTATATGTTAAATTGTACACCTATATAACTTTAGGTCACTAGTTTATGTTAAGTTGTACACCTATATAACTTGAGGTCAGCTAGTTTATGTTAAATTGTACACCTATATAACTTGAGGTCAGCTAGTTTATGTTAAATTGTACACCTATATAACTTGAGGTCAGCTAGTTTATGTTAAATTGTACACCTATATAACTTTAGGTCAGCTAGTTTATGTTAAATTGTACACCTATATAACTTTAGGTCAGCTAGTTTAGTTAAATTGTACAGCTAGTTTATGTTAAATTGTACACCTATATAACTTTAGGTCAGCTAGTTTATGTTAAATTGTACACCTATATAACTTTAGGTCAGCTAGTTTATGTTAAATTGTACACCTATATAACTTTAGGTCAGCTAGTTTATGTTAAATTGTACACCTATATAACTTGAGGTCAGCTAGTTTATGTTAAATTGTACACCTATATAACTTGAGGTCAGCTAGTTTATGTTAAATTGTACACCTATATAACTTGAGGTCAGCTAGTTTATGTATAATTGTATACTTACATTATTTTAACTAATTTTAACCTTGTAAATACATACGTGTGTTGGTTTTCCTGTCCGAGGTTTTCTTCGGTACGTCACGTATCCTCTTTACTGCCATTGTTTCTCCTCTATTGATTTATTTCAGGACACGTTTGTATGCCTTTTGTAAGTACCACAGATTTTCCCGCCATTTTCCTGAAAGAAATTATATTTATTAGAGGTTCCGTGTCCTCTCACGCTACGAAGACGAGGCTACAGACTATTGGATAACTTAAGGCTGATTCCAAAAAACCATCACACAGAAACGTCCAGATAAGATAACGAATGGCCAGTCGTTGGCTTTATACAAAAACAAAAACATATTCTGTAAACAATAAAACCCAAACGTGATTTTGTCGGTGACCCTCCCTATGTCTGTAGGTCAATTTGAACCGGAAAACACAGCCGTACACTTGGAATCTTTAATCACAAACCGTTTACGTAATATTAACATTGTAAATGTCCTGACTTACGTCTATCATTCGTTCTGTCTGAAAGGTTACTTGAAAGATTAATTCTTTGTCTGAGAGTGAAGGCATTGTTGTATCCAAGTATGTGAATGTTGTAGGATAACTACGGAATAAAGTAGGGCTGACACACCTGACATAGTGAGAGTGTTATTAGTTCCGGCTGTCACACAATGACTAAACACGGTGTTTACTTGGGTTGACCGAAACGTTTATTTCATCGTACAATGGTTTTCCATAGTTAGTACTTCGCGTTAATATCCATTACAAAAGATAGTTCCTAATCAACATACAGCAGCATGTCGTGGCACCAAAAATAACCACCTGTGTAAGGCAGACAAAAACTAAACACCTTCCCGTCCATATAAAAGAGTTCCATACAAATGTCCATGGGCCAACTTGGCCAGGGCCCGCTCCATCG